GTTGTTGTTGGAGGGCGACTTGTCTCCGCCTCCTAAAACTGCCCACTAGCGGCCTTCGCGAGTCTCCTCCACAGAGGCCGAGCTTCCCACCGCAGTGAGATTGCCTCTTATTTCTGGAAGGTCTCCGAGGGGTTCAGTTCCCTGGCTCCACCGGTTGGGGTTTGGCCAGATGAAATAAACGCCTAGATCTCAGGAATCTTTTAAATATATATAGGTATTCAATTCAAGGTAGAGGGGTTAACAGAACATCACACCTGTCCAGCACCCCCCCCCACCCCCGTTAGCCACTGCGGTGGATGTAAACACGCCATGTGGTAATCAGCTGACTAATGTCAGCCTTTCCCCCATCACATCACTCAGAACACACGCAGCAGTGTTGCCATCTGACATCCACGAATAGGGGGGGGGGGGGTGGAGGGGTTATTTTGCCAAAAGCCAACACCGCACACTCCTCTGCAAACTCTCACACACGCACACTTACAGACGATCTCACTCTCTCACGTAGGCAGACACTCTCACACACTCTCTCCTACACGTTGTTATATATTTTTTAAATGCTTATCCTTTCACTCGTAGTATTTTTCTCTCTCATACATTCACACAGAGTATCACACACACACACTTTCCCTCATATACTCACACACTCTTACAAACATCACGTCCTTCATAGACAAAAGTAAATACATTAGAAAGATCCCCCCTTGTTGGGGCAAGTGCTGTTAACCAGCATCTATGAGAGGGCATAAAAGACACACGGATGGGGTGGCCAACACCACGCAAAGTCGCCTTTGTCTTCCCATTGCTGAGTTACCACGGTGGTGAGATGTTAACAACCTCGCCTGTATATTTGGAGTTTTTGTGTCTCTCCCTCCGTGGTCGCGTGGATTTTTCTCTGGGCCCTTCAGTTTTCCATCCTCATCTAGAAACATGCGTTTAAAGTATTTTTTTTTTTATAAATGTTCACTTGATAAGGCCACTTCGTTGAGCTATCATTTGTGGCCAGGTCGCTTCTGAAAAAGAGTTATTATGCAGCTCAGTGGGTCTTACCTGAAAAAAATAAGTTGGTAGTTTTATATTCTTAGTTCTTTCGGTAAAGTCACGTTGAAGGGAAACAACAAAATAATAAAATATATATAAAACAATAAAAAGTCTCACGACGTTTCGACCATAACACAAACGGTCGTCTTTGTGTTATGGTCGAAACGTCGTGAGAATTTTTATTGTTTTATATATATTTTATTATTTTGTTGTTTCCCTTCAACGTGACTTTACCGAAAGAACTAAGAATATGAATTACTGCAGTCACGAAAGCTTTAAATCAAAATTTGGTAGTTTTAGTTTACACATTGCAGCAAGGTACTCGTTTCAGCCTGAGTTAACGTTGCGGAGGCCCAGAATTCTTTCAGATATCGTGAGCGGGGATCGAATTCGTAGTCACCGAATAGCTGGGTTCGTATTGCATTGCGCTCACCACTGCGCCACCGCTCCTCATCTCTCCTTCATATCCTCTGTGTCACACTCTCACTTGTACTCTCTCACACTCTCTCTCTCTCACAATTTCTACCGGGGTTTGGGGATCAGGGTCGCCGTCAACATTTTGCATGAGAAATTCAGCTCTGGTGACGAGTGGTATCTGAAGAGACCCCCTGGGCATCCCCTTTACCAAGCGGTACTGACGAACGTGGTGAAGTATGGTCAAACAGGCCCCACAATTGACACGGCATAAGAAGTCCTTCATCCAGTAGTAGATTGATAAAGGGCTGTACATTTGATTACATTACTATATTTGTATTTGTATTGTCTATCGCCTGTCCTCTCATCCACGTCTCTAGTCCGGGTGCATGCGTGGTAGGCGGGCTCCTCTCGTCCAGCAACGGATTCGTGATGTTGGGATTTGTAGTGGGGGGGGGGGGGGTGATAGAGGAGAGTGGGCGATGTGGTGGGGGTAAGGAGACTGATGGTAGGTGGTCTGATGGAGAGGTAGGAGTGAAGGGTGAGAGTGATGCGAGAGAGGAGTGTTGGTAGGCTAACAGTGATGGGATGAGAGTAATTGAGTGGACTGATGGGTTGGGCTGAGTCATGGGAGGGTTGGGTGATGGGCTGGAATGATGGAAGTGTGAAAGTTGTCGGAGTATGAGGATGATGGGAGTACGAGAGTGATGTGAGAGTTGAGTGATGGGGTGGATGATGGAGAGTTTGCAGTGATGGGAGAATGGAGTGATGCTTGTTGGGGTGATGTTGAGGTGCAGTGATGGGGTAGAGGTGAATCTAATGAGCGTGATGGGGTGAGCGATAGAAGGGTAATGTGATGGGGTGAGTGATGGTAGGGTGATGTGATGGGGTGAGTTATGTTGCTCGGCGGGATGTGGAGCGATGGGGTGCGCGATGGAAGGATGGTGTAATGAGGGTGAGTGACGGAAGGTCAGAGCATGGGTGGGAATAATGAGGTGGAGTGATGCTGGAGAGTGATTAGAGATCTGAGTGATGGGAGGGTGGAGTGATTGGGAGGTCCTGAGGGCGGGCGAGAGGAGGAGGCTGTGAGTGATGGAGGGGAGGTCGCCGTGATGTGATGTAGTAATGAGAGGGTGGGAATGATGGGAGGTGGGAGGTGATGGCGGAGAAATTTGAGCTCTGAGTGATGGGGCGGAGTGATGGGAGGGTGGGAGTGATGGTGTGAAGTGAGGCAAGCGTGCACACTCCGTAAACCTCCGCTTCCACCGCATGACAGGGAATGCAATCACAGTACAGTACACGTCCATACTGCACATGACTACAGTCCTTCCCAATTAAAGTCACAGTGCAATACAATGTGGGTTTATGTAGCATCTACATGCGACAGCATCTCAATATGTTGTAGAGAAACGGTGGGAATATTTTCGTGATAGAGCGAGGCAATCGAAGGCTGATGATCAGTGGGCAGTGAGTCTTTGAGTCTCGAAGTACCGTACATGGATATCTGTGAGTCTATGAGTATGCGATTCTATGGGGTTTCTATGTAAGTCTATGAATATTCTTGTAAAGTCTAAGGTTCTCCGTGTAAGTCTACGAACCTCTGAGTGAGTCTCAGGGCATGTATGTAACTCTGTGGGTCTCTGTGCGAGTCCATAGGAAACAATACATTGTGGATGTATGAGAGCGCCCAAATTGGACCGCATCTCCGGACGCTGGACAAAACAATTGCGTGAATTTAATTTATGGAGAGAAAAAGAGGCAGTCGTGAGCAGAGGAAAGAAGCAGGCATTGAGCCTGGACTTGAACAGGGAGAGGGGGGGGGGTGATCAAGGTTAGTCGACAGCACTGACAGCTCGGAGGGAAGGGACCTCCAGTCCATGTGGGCAGCAGAGGAGAATTGACAAATCATATCCTTTATTTAACCACCCTAGAGCACATTGAGATTCATCAGGTCCCTTTTTGCAAGGGTGTGGGGGGAGTCTGAAACACTCCAGCCACAGCACAGCGAGCATCCGCTAACGTTTCACCTTTAAACGTATATCGCACCGTTCTTATATAAACAACGGTCGTGACACCGGTGGTGTGTTCATAATGGGCTGCACGCACAGCGAGAGATGACGTCACCCTAGCCCCAGCGCTGATCGTCGAGCAAAGCGACTCTTGCTGCTCACGAGACCACCGGCGGTGGCACCCATCTCCATTCTCCTTTCGCGCCTCCTCAGCCAATGATCGTACGCTCCACATTCCCTTGACGGGACAAGTCCGACTAACCCAAATGCGGGAGTATAATACAGCGAGTGTTGCTTTTATCGGCCTCGCCGCTACGACGTCGGTGATGATTGTGGTGGTGTGCCAAAATGTCTGTTACGGCTCTAAGGGGGATCTTTGGTGGTGGGGGTGGTGATGATGATGGCAATGATGATGCCATTGTTGGGTTGAGTAAATCCACGACTGGAAATTGAACTCAACAACGACTTGTTTGAGGCTAATGCTGTGCCCAGAAATTGATGATGGTGACTGTGATGAATCCGATGATGATTACAGTTCTTGTGATAATGACTGTGATGATGTTCATGACTTTGACGACAATGATGATTATGATGATGACTGTGACGATGATGAAGATCGTGATGGTGACTAAGACCCTGATGTCTGTGATGATGATGATTATGTTGTTGACTGATGATAATGATAATGATGATTATGATGACTGTGGTGATGACGATAATGATTGTCAAGAATGTGACAACTACAACAATGATATAACAATTAACGTCCGTCCGTCGTGGGAATCTAACCTTGCGACACGTATCTCTCAGGCCCAGCAACGCAAACAATGACTGTTCTAATCATTATCGAGTAGCAAGAAACTCTCTTGTCATAAATCAGCAGTGGACGTCCTATGGACGTACTGTCCCCGCCATCGGAATGCGGATTGTCCACTGCTGGCATAGGTCCGTCAAAGGCAGTGATCGGCGCCAGAGGAGGCTTCTTTGAGCCGAGAGACGTTTTGATGGGTTTTTTTTCTGTAATAATGATGATGAATATTAACGAGACTAATGGGCATTGGTGTTAGTGTGTGAAGTGTGTGTATGTACGTGTGATTATAGACCTTACACACACATCGACATGTATGAGCGTGTATACGTGTGATTAGTCATCGCACACAGCCACATATCTACACCCTGACGGACATGCACATACATACACACACATATAAAAAATAAAGATTCCCCGTGTAGGCTTCACATGCTGCTGGGGGCAAGTGCTGTAATGAATGCCGCCACGGCGAACAAGGCATGTATGTATGTGGTCAGCACCACACCCGGCTACCTTTGGCTCCCCAGTTATGATGCTTTTACACCGCACCAAATACTCATTTAAGTCTGAGCCGACCCAGGGGAACACCGCACCTCTCGTGCGTCGTCCCGCATATATTCAGGGGTGTTCGCTGACAACACTTGCCCCACCTTCATGTGTAGGCTATACGGGGGATCTTTTTAAATATATATAAGGAGCGTGGGCGCACGCCATCTCACATCGCCCACCTGTTAACGTGAGCTCTTGGCGAACCCGGCTGATTGCATTAAGTGGATGCAAGCCCATGTCCACGCACTGTGTACCTACACACAGACACACGCACGCACGTATACACTGACACCAAGTCCTATTGGTACACCACATTCATTGCACGCATACTAATTGCCCATCGACGGTATACCACCGGCACATTGTATAAACACACAAATATGCACGTGTACCAATACCAATAAGCGCCTCTCGCCACGAAGTGACGGAGACGTCACTACGGCTCTTGTGCCAGGCCAGGTGCACTTTAAGACCAGGCGCACACAAAGTGAGCGCATGCCCGTTGCACGTAAACATAGGGTTTTGATAAACGGAAAACCGCTAAACCGGTAACCGTTTTTAGAATCGATTTCCGATTCAGAAAGTCAGTAGTGCGCGCGAACGCATAAACCGCACGGCGGTTATGTCTTTTTACTTGTTTGTTCAGTTAAATGGCAAAAAGCGGAGCAGTCCTGCAGTCGCTTCCTGAAGCCACTGCTGGCGGAGGGGGTATCCAGGGAGGGGGGTGCCCTGGGCGAGTCTTTTGGGTCTCCTCTTCCACACTGAGCAGACTTCACGGAAGAAGAGGTGTGCGTTACCCACACTTCACCCCGCCGCACGTGTCACTTGCCCATTTGGCTTGCTGTGACGTACACTCATTTATACCGGAGGAGATTTAAGAGTGACTCGACTTGCCCCAATGTTTTTCACTGCCGCACCTGGAGATCGAATCCATTGCAAAGGGCAGTGTGTTAACTATTGCATTACGACGGCTTCCCTTCGTTTCTCAGATATAAAAAGGTAAAAAAAACAGTGTTATGCTTAATGATAAACATTTATGTTTGTGTGGTAAGCGGTTTTTTTTTATGGGGTTTTTCCATTCGGTTATTGGCAATGCTAAAAAATACCCGATGATAACAACCTGACTATATAACCTGTGTGCCTACACATTATAGGCTACATATATACACACACACACATAGCAAGTCATTATTTACATACAATACACACATACACGTGTCCTACACGCGCGCAAGTATACAACAAATACACACGCGTTTACACACATGTAAAATATCCAGGTAGACTCATACTAGACCGTATGCACGTTGCTCCTCTACATTCGGGCTGCACAAGTACACGAATGTGATTGCACACATTTGTAGGCATACACGGATGTGTATACGCGTGTGCTTTATGCACATATGGGGAACTCACACACACACATTACATACCTTCACACATTGCCCACAGATTGCACACACGTTGCCCTGTTATACAATTTGCATTTATATGGCCATGCTAATCTATACACTCGTGTACATTTGTGTACGCCGTGTGCGTGTGCTGAGACGTATGCGAAGGTGTGTGTGTGTTCAGATGAATACGTGAGTGTATGTGTGTGCGTGCGTACACGCGTGGGCGTGTATATGCATTGCGTATACAACAGGCTCGTGTACTCCATCCTCTTAATTAATCACATACGGGTCGCCTCCAAAGTACACACCCATGATGATTTGTTCCAACGTGTATATGTGTGTATGTATAAGCTGGTGTGCATATGGATGTACGTGTGCCTGTGTGTGGGCACGCGTGTGTAAATACATGTATGTTAAACGTGTAGATGTGTACATGGCATGTCAATGAACGCGCGTGAATGTTCACACGCACATTCATGCGCGTGTGTACATGTTAAACGTGTACATGAATGACAGGGTGATTGCATTTACACGTATGCAATCGTGTATATGTGCTTGTAAGTCGGTAGTGTGTGTGTGTGTACGTGAGTGTACACACACATACACAAGCCGACATTGTATACACGTACACAGATCTACACGTGTGAATGCCATCGTGTATGTACGTTCCTGTTAGTATGTGTGTATATGCACGCATGTACAAGCGTATATTTCTCCATTTATGTACGTTCATGGAGGTGTACGTATGTGTGCGTACAAGTATGTTATATGCTTCGCTGTATGCGTGCGTGTGCACACTCGTGTACACGTGTCCATCTATGTTGGCTCGTATATGTTGGCACGTTCATGTAGGTATGCAAATATGTATGCATGCACGCGTGTATACATGCCAATGTACACACGTGTGCATTTGTCGGCGTGCACGTGTGCATACGTTCACGTAGGTGTGTCTGTGTCTTTTGTGCAAGCGTGCACACCGTGTGCGTGTCGGCGGGTATGTGTTATGTACGTCCACGTAGGCGCGTGCGCGCGTGTACACGCGCGTGCGCAAGCCGCGTGTGCGCTCGGCACCACCGCCACTCACCCGATCGCTCCCGCGAGCTGCATCGTTTCCCCGACATCACGCTCATCCCGCTCTCTCCTTCCCCCCCCCACCACCACCACCACCACCCCCTCTCTCCAAATCCTCCACCCCCCCCCCCCCGCGGCCTTCCAAAAAATAAATTAATAAGCACACACCAATTATTTAAACCCACACACACGCACGCGCGTGCGCGTACACACACACGCGACCAGACCGTCGTGTGCACGCAACAATGTTCTGAGCGTGCCCAAAAACCCCGTACAGAGCGCGCGCGTGCGCGCACACGGACGCACGCGCGCGCGCACGCACGCACGCGCCTGTAAGCTGCAACCGCACGGGGGGGGGGGGGGGGGGGGTTCTCTACGTTGGAAGGGAGCGAGGAGGTTTTGTGCACGAGGGGGATAAAGGCAGTAAGGATAACGACGACAGTCCCAGCAGTTCCACTCCGACGATGCAGAGGGGGCCGGGGTGCATGCGTGGTCGGCAGCCACTTGTTCGGTCCCGTCTCTTTTTATTTCTTTATTTTTGTTGTAAGGGAGGGAATATTTTTCGGGGGTTGGGTATGGGCATGTTTAATTCATTATTTTCTTGGACGCTCTCTATTTTTTGCGCTCTCCATTCTCTCCCGCTCTCTCCTCTCTCCATCATCATCATCGCGCACACCCCCCCCCACCCCCGCAACAACCCCCTCTCTCCTCTACGCTCCGCGTGTAATGATGGTGGCACGGTAGTAGCGATGGTTGTGTTGGTGAGGATGGAGAGCCGGTGTGCATGTCGCCTCGTCCGCGCATCGCGTGTGCTGTCTTTAACTAATTCTCATTGAGCGCCGTTGCGTTAATATTAACGGGTACGCGCCTTAAACAACACGGGCACGGGTTGCACGCCGACGTGTACACGACGTACACGTATTTTCACACGCGTCGCTTGCGTGTTAAATACCACCGGCGCTCGTGTACGCGGCTGGGCGTCTCGCATGCATTACCGCAGGCGCGTATCCTCAGACGCGTGTGACTCGTGCGCGTAAGAGATGCGCGCACGTGTTTGTGCTTCCGTCGAACAATAAATGACACGGCGACCGTATACGCACAGGCACGTGCACACGGATAACCGGTGTACGCGTGTCTCCGTAAAATAAAATAGGGCACCGTATACGCATCGTCGTATACACACACACACACACGTGTGCGCGCGTCTCATCAATATCACAATACCAAGAAACAATACAAATATCCCCCCCCGTATATCCTGAACAGGCTGTTGGGGCAAGTGCTGTTAGCGAGCACCTACGAAGGCCGGCACGGCACACGAGGGGGTTGGTGGCCAGCACCACGGGCATTTCATCACATATACGACGACACAAGCACGTATACTCCACCACATGTATGTTCCACCACATGTATGTTCCACGTATGTGTATACGTATTGCACTACGAACCCAGGGATCCCCAGTTTAATTCCCGCTCACGTCCAAACAACAGTGGCAAATATTTGAACCGGTCCAGGGCCTCCCCTAGGTTGACTCAGATTGAAATGAGTACCTGGTGCACTGTGTAATTAATTATCAGCACTGGGGAGACAAAGGCGGCCGGGCGTGATGCTGGCCACCCTCCCCCTCGTGTGCCGTGCCGGCCTCGTTAGGGGCTCGCTAACAGCACTTGCCCCAGTGGTAAAGGCGAGTTGAGGGGACATTTGTCTTTGCATGCACGTGTGTATTATTCACACGAGCGGATACATACACAACACGGTACAGATATCCCACCACAACAACCGCAATTCGTCACTTAGTGGCGGTGACGTCACCACGGCGCTCGTGCCAGGCTGGGTGCACGTGTACACACGGGCACGTGTACGCGCGTGCGCATGCAGTGCACTATTCCGGCGCGCGCTTGTGAAAGCACCACGCGTACACACGCGCGCGTCAATGAGTTGTCCCCTCGAATGCGTGGTGGGATTTTTTTTTTGTCCTCCGGGTACTCCAGAAATTTCCCCAGAAGTGCTGTTAGCGACCGCCTATTAAGGGCGGCACGGGTTCACAAGGCGGCGGCGGTGTTTGCGAGTGCCACGCCGGGCAACCAGGTACTGATTTAAGGTCCTGAGTCGACGTAGGAAAATCCAGGACTAGTTCAGACGCAACAACCTTCATTCGCCACTAAGTGGCGGAGACGTCACCACGGCGCTCGTGCCAGGCTAAGTGCGCTTAGCCTGACAGGCGCAATTTTACCGAGAGGACAAACCACTCACTCATTAACTGTCGACTCCCCACGAAGCGGACCTCGCTTTATCGACTGCGGAGAAATTATTATGAATACGGTGATGGTGATGAGCTGACTCAGAACCCCGTACCGGGATTTGAACGCGTAACCTTGAACTTTGTGAGTCGAGCGCTCTGACCGCAGAGACACTCGATCTGATAACGTTAATTCAAAAAGTCAGAGCGATTTCCTGCTCAAATGAGACGGTGCTCATCTCCCGTTTCCAGCCCTAAGCCAAGGGTGAAAAATCCACATTCCTATGACGGGGTGAGCATATCCATAGGTCAACCACTGTTAACATAATACCAATTAATAATTATACAGGAATACTAATGATGTCAATGAGCCTCAAAATAAAATTTCAGGAAGGGCCTGCTGCATTGTGATGTTTGGCCAATTCAGAATTAGAATATTTATACTGGAGGAATCCGATGAGCTATAAAGCTATTTCACAGATGTCCAATAGGGGCGGATCAGAACGTTACAACAACAAACAATGCGGAAAAACACGATAGGAGTAACAAATTATAGGAAAGCGAGTTGAGACATTCCTTGTGTAGTCGATCATTGTTGCGAGTGTGATTGTGGATAAAAAACTGAAGTACCCGGAGAAAACCCTCCACGCATACGAGGGGATATTAAAAAAAAACATTTATGCAGATAGGATCAGCAAACTACCTTCTGTACTACCGTTTCCTGACCACCTCGCACACGCACCATGTTTGTGAGTCTCCTTGAACGTGGTGATCTTAGGGTGATCTACCATCCTCAGTTGTGAGCGTACACGTGTTCGGGTGTGTGACTGTGTGTTCTAGTGTACAACCGTACATGAGTGGGTGTGTGTGTTTGTTCATGCGTCCGTGTATGTCAACTCATACAATCATCTCTCTGAGGTCGATAAAACGCATACCACTACTTCACGGTGACGTCAACATTAATTGTCCCATGGATAACGTCCAGAATAGCCATAGGAATGTGGAATTTCTTCCACAGTCCAACAAGGATGAGTTTGAGAACGGCACTTCGGCTTCAGCTGGTCTATAATAAATGTATATGTGTGTGTGGGCGTCAATGCGGGTGTGTATGTTTTTTACATATATTTAATCCCTTTAAATAATCCCTGTGCCCATTTCCTTTGGATTCAATCTCCCCCCCACCACACACAACTCCCATTCTCCACCCCCCCCCCCCCGCCGCCACAAAAATCTTTAATTTTGCATCTCTGCTCCCGTAGACAGAGATCAATAAATTAAGATAGCGCGGTACGTGGAGACATTGACATCCACCGCTCAACATTCGTAAATGTATGTATTTTTATATATATTGAAAGACATCAGAATTACATTTTGAAGGCAGGCAGTGAGGGGTTTCAAATCGCAATCGTTGTCGTGGCCAACGCATACTCAGCTATGCTGATGATTTATAATTGGAGGTGAGGCCAACTTGCCTTTGTGACTTAATCCAGTAGCGGATTGATCATAGCTGATGATTGTGATGATGATGATAGGTGATTTTTATAAAGATACACGATCCACCAAACATCGTGGGATTTTAAAGCCTGTCGTAGATCGCAATCCACTTTGATTATTATGATAAATAGGAAATGTGAGACTGATATTGTTTCTTCTCTTTCAAAAAGACGGAGGGTGAATCAGAGATCAGATCACTGAACGAATCGGCACTGCTGAAATCCTGGGTTCAAATCCAGGTTTCAACCATCTGTGATTAAACTGGTCACTAATGACTCAACAACAAAAAATACGATCGTAACGTAACATTTAGTCTTGCACTTAATTTGTCTAAATATTCCAGCTCTGAGAATGAAGTGTCTGTTGTACTGTCGTGCGATTAACAGCACTCTCTCTCTCTGAAGCAGGGCAGATGTGAAAATGCTGCCACCTAGTGTGCATAAGAGGTCACGCGAAGATAATTCAATAGCAGTTCTGCGATATCTTCTTGCGCGGACCGTTCTCTAACACGGGGTGCTGCGATGTCCGCACTTGCCCTGTGAGAGTTCTGACTGGATTATTCGTCACGTCACACAGCGCCGATAGCTCGATTGGGATAACATTGTAGAACAAAGTCAAACCAACGATTTAATGGTCTTTAAATTGTCGATGATAGTTTCAACCCGGTCACCAATAACAGCACAAAATCTCATCAAATATAATTGTATTTTTCATTTAATTTGACCCATGAGGGCTAACGTCTATAATTATATCAGGTGACTGACACAAAGTGAACCACTCTGTACAGAACTGTACCGAACATTAAAAATAACATCGCTGTCTCGTAGTGTTCATATTTTAGGAGGCTCCTACTTTGGGATGTTTGGCCAATTATTTGTTTAAATTATGTAAGGTGTGTTTTGAAATTTTCACAATGAAAAGAGAGAACTCGGAGAAAACCGTACTTCCCATACGATAGAATATCACTCGGTCAGGAACCTACTTGCTATACTATCTATCATCTCTTGGCCACCTCGCAGTTCAGCAGGTTCGAAAATTCTAAGCACGATCCATCAACCCCAAATGCAAACGGTTTGTTTACGGGCCTGCACATAGGCATTGCTAAATATCACAACGTGGGTCCCTCCTGAAAATGTGTCTTGAGACTCCAGTAAGGCTCTTCTGAATAAACAAATACTACAGCATCGTTACTGTGGTTAAGATGGGCCCAGTGGCAGTGATTAGCACACTGCACTCTGAACCCAGCTACACACGAGTTCCATTCTCATCCACAGATAATAAAATCAGTGGCGACACCCCCAATCTTGATCTCGATGTTATAATCGCTGCAAAGTGCCTTGGAATGAGGCGCTATATACATCTAGATAA